AAACTTATTCCACAGAAGCAATGATATAAGAGTTATGAAGCCATGCCAAGCTATTGAAAAATGCCTATTTCTCACTCCACAGAGTATGCCTAAAGTCTTAAAAGCACTGGCCCAACTTCTGGGTCTTGGATGCAGGAATCCCTGTAGAGAAAAAAATAAAAGTTCCCACCATAGCTAAAATTAAGCAAGAGGAAAAATGTTTCTGTTCAGAGCTTCTTAGAGCTCTTAAGTTACCATGGCCTTGTCTTACTACAACACCCTGCTCAAATATATTCTATCCCTCAAAAATAAGCCACACTATAGAAGTATCTGCTGTTCATCTCCTCAGTCATAACTTTAATTCTTAGCTGTCTCCAGAAGGTGCTAGGAAGAAATCAATCTGACTGAACCAACTTATACTAATGTAAATGTAAATGACTTATTTGCTCAATCATTTTATATACACAATACACACACATGTACACACCCAGCTACATTACTTTTGTGTTAGCTAGGCATTATTCTAGCAGCCAGGGATATAACAGAGGAAAAAAGGGCAAGGTTTCTATTCCCATGAAGGTTATATTTCAGTAAGGAGAGTTGGACAATAATATTTATCTGAATAAATTTATATACTCTATTCAAAAATAAATTTAAAAAAATTCAGAAAGTAGTAAATACAGAAGATGGGGTGATGTAATAGAGCAGAACTGGCTGACCACTTCACACTGCAGGGTTAGGAAACATCTCTTTGAAGACGTACATTTAAGATGAGACATAATTGAGACAAAGAGCCAGTCTTGTATAAATGAAGGAAAGAGCATTTTAACAAGCTAGTACAGCCCTGAGCAAGGCATGGCCATGCTGTGTGGAGGACAGTAAAAAGTCCAGTGGGGCCAAGGACAGTGGGCAGGGAGGACAACACAATGGAAAGATAGGCAGGGCGAATCACATAGGTCTCTGTAAGCCAGAGCAATGCTTTTAAAGTTTATCCTAAGTGAAATAGGCAGCTCTTGAACTGTGGTTGGATTTGTATCTTAAAACCATGTGTAGCAGGAGCATGAAGACAGATGGAAGCCTATGGTGGGCCTGAGAGTGTACTACTGTCTAGACAAGAGAGGCAGTCGTAGAGAGAGAGGTAAGTGGGTTCGATTAAGATAAACTTTAGAGGAACGATCTGCAGGAGGTATAAATGGCCTGGCTGCAGGGATGAGGACATGGAACCAAGGACACCTGGGTGGATGATGATGCTGTTTTCCTGAGAAAGGCAAGATCTGGAATGAAATGGTTTGGTTGAAGGACAGGCGCTTAGGCAGTGGAAGTGAACAACAGTTCTATTTTGGACATGGTAATTTTGAGCTGCAAATTACACATCTGGCATCCAGTACAGAACAGGCAGTTGATATAGGAACCTAAAGCTCTGGGGAAAGTCGAGGCTGGGGACACACATTTGGTGATCAGTAGCATATGGATGCCATGTAAGCCACAGAGACTGATGTGATGGCCTACGGAGTGAACATGGGCTGAGAAGAGGCCTGGTGGCCAGGCTGTGGCTCACCCCAACTGCAATCCACATTTCATTTTACAGAAAAAAATTTTTTTAACAATAAGGCTGCCACACTTTCAAGAGTTTATGAATACAGAAGGTGCACAGGGGTGGAGAGAGACCGTCCAGAACTCTTCAGACTGATAGCTCTGTAGAAGGTGATTCAGGAAAAGCAGGTCCTTCTGCTACTAACCTGATGGGTCTTTAAGCTCTCCTGTGCATACCTAACCCAAGGCTGAGGGGGAGGAAAGACCCTCAGGAACCTTTCTCTGCCAGAAGGTGATAATGGACAATTGCTACCAGTTGTATGAGGAAGAAACTCTGTCTCACCTAGAAAGTCATAAGCACTATTTCCCATGGATTTTGAGCAATATGGTAAAAACATTTCAAATGACTATTTAATTCTACCTTCAGGCAGGGCATGTTTCCAATGCCCTTCAGGCCATCCTAAGCTAAGAATCTTAGAGTCTCCCTTAGAAAGGGGCAGCAGTACATCAGACACTAGCCAGGAGCTCTGCTACTTTAGGGAAAGTGTCAAGACATCAGCCTGGAGAAAGAGCTGGGCCCGGGATCAATGCCAATTAATGGCAGGCTCTAAGTGAAGAGGATGAGCTTCCTCATTCTCCTTCTGCCTGTAGCAATGGGGCTTTAGGAACCATAGCTTTTTTTTTTTTTTTTTTTTTTTTTTTTAAGTCAAGAGATAAAGCACTGCTCAGAATTATCAGCACTGAGGAATAAAGTCAGAAATATTATGTTTATTCAGCATCTTGTTCAATTTGCATAGCTGATTTCTGAAAATAAAAGTCTGATGATATAGATACGATTATTTGCGATTACCTGTGAATATACTGTTTGGGGACCATGCTGCACAGGTAATGTTGTATCAAATTACAGGAACTCTCCCAACAACAGAGGAAAGAAATCTGTATCCCAATGGGAAGAATTTATGACAGTGTAGGGAAACCATTTTGACAATGAATGATTCTGTTGTATTCTTCCCAATAGGCTTTCTTCCCTCTTGATGCCTCTCCCTGGGAACTGAGGTGGTGTTAAGTGGCAGAACAAATGAGTCCTCTGAACACTGAGGTTCACTGTAATACACATTTTATGTTACAGAAAAATATTTTTAATCTGTGTAAAAATATTTTTAATTTTGAGCAGTGACTGTACACTGCTCAAAAGCATTGATGCAAAAGATGCAGAGAACCATTTTGCAAGACTGGTATTAGGAAAAGGAGCCAGTTTTTAGGCACTGAAATGAGGAGTTGGGAAATTAAAAACCACACCACATTATTTTGGAACAAGGATTTGATGGAGGGAAAACATTTTTAAAATCCTTCTGAAAGCAAGAGATGCATTTGCTAGGACCAACTGCTGACTTTGAATAGCTGTGATGAGAAACCTAATTTTGCCTTCATTATCATAATTTGAACATATTCTCCTCAAGGGTTAAATCCACAGCCAACAGTGTGGGCTAATGTGGGCACTATTTGATATAGCGATTTAAGCCTTAGGCAAAGTGGACCCCAAAACATTTTCCTATAACAGCCACAGACAGCAATGGATAACCATGATGCTTAGTTCCTCTAGCTATATATAGGTTCTCTAAACAAAGCAATTTAGTTTCTCCATGTCCTCACGGACGTGAACTAAGAGGGGGGAATGCTGGTGGGGGAGGACAGGGCAGAGGGGAATAAAGGGGAGGAAAAAATGGGACAATTGTAATAGCATAATCAATAAAATATACTTAAAAAAAGCACCTTAAAACATGAATATTTTACATTTTTCCTCCTACTTGGTAAATTGGTCATTTTTGGAAAAATTTCAAAATGAAGACCAAATGTGGAACTGCTAGAACAGAGCTGAGGTTCAGAGGGAGCCTGCTCTGCTCTGAGGATGAGCTGTCAACTGGGAGACTTTGCACAGCCCTGCTCACTGAGGCAGGACTCAGAGTACATCCTAAATCCCCGGCTCCTGCATCACCGGAACCATGCTAGGCGCCTCCGTCAGGACTCCCAAATGGTCCATCAGTCGGGAAGCGCCGGGGGCTATGGCCGACCAGTACAAACCTGGCACTTTATCCCCGATTACTCATGGATGAAGTGTCCACATTTATAGTAGTTAGGTCCCCCTAACCTATTCAAAATAAGTGATCAAAAGCTACTGTTCTATTACATTCCCTCTATAGCCCAGATGCTTTACTAGGTGCCTAATTTATAGATGTTTTCTCCAGTCCTTCCCACAATTCTGCAAGTTACGTATGGTTATCCCAATTTTACAAATAAAGAAACTGAGGCTCTGAGAAGTTTAGTAACTTATACTCAGTCACTGAGATGATAAGTATCTGAGTGGAAAACAACTAGAGGATTCCAGTGAAGAAACAGACATGATTTAAATTGTACTTGTTTTCAGACTCAAAACCAAAAGCCAAGGTTGCCCACTATGGCAGGTGGTAGTAGAAATCACAGCATTTACGTAAAGGCTGTGGCAAATGTGGAACATTGAATGGTACCATCAGCTGGGCTGTCTGTCCTTTCAAGCTCTGCCTTTCCCCCAGGCTGAGGATTATGACACTTGTCCTCAAATGCGGGTTGCTCAAAGTTAAGGCTGTACATCTGTCAAGATGTCAACTAGTGCTGGGGAATAGGCCCAGAACTTCAGTTACAATAAGGTCTGATGTGCACCAGAGTCATCCATGAGCTCAAAACACACATTTCTGGGCCCTTCCTCTAGATCTTCTAATTCCACTGGTTGGTGGTGGGTCTCAGGCATTTGCTTTTTTTTTTTTTAAAGAAGCTCCCAGGTACTTTTGATGCCCACCAAAATTTGAAAATTACCGCTGTCAATGTTGTGTTTGGAAGGATGATGCCTTACCCAGAAGTCTGAGCAAACCATAATGAGCTGAAGTTGTAGGCCAGGAGAAAAATTCAGCTTATAGGAATGCATGAAGGAACGTCCATGAGATGTGTGCTTTGTGAGGTTACTTTTTCCCTTTCTTGATCAATGTCTGTTTCTTTTTATTTCCTCCCATTAATACTTGGGTCAAGAGAATATTATATCAGGTCTTCAGTAAGAATTTATCTTAGTTACCCAATGAATACAGAGTTTCATGGAAATAATCTAAAAGGAAGAAATTTTGTTCTTGAAGATGGTTCTGAAATTTGGTTTTGTGTTTTGAAAGTGCTGGTTGTATTGGGAAGCTCATCTACCAATCTATCCATCAGACCAACCTGCTCTGTCCCTCAGGCCATGCAGTCGCTCTGGGGACGCTTTCCTGTCATCATGTTGGTACTGACCAGCTTTCTAACCTTGAAAGATGCCACGACAATGTCCCGGGAGGGACATTATTCATATCTTTGGGCTCTTGTCTTTCAGAGGCCTGGTGCCATCACAGTTCTTGAAACTGTTAGACAAGATAAGGTCATAGGGCAGCAGAGCGCCCATGTAGGGACTCATATGTGAATATATTCTCTACCTGGTACTGAAGTTCCAAGTGCGACGAACACCACCGCAGTCACAGAATCTTTCAGGCCAATGGTGCAGCCAAAGTGGGAAGCCAGGTCGCCAATGAAAGCTGTCAGTATGCCAATCATGAGGATGGAGACAATGAAACATGCCCAGCCATTCCAGTATTCTGTAGGGGGCACGAAGGCAAAGAGGACCTTCCAGAACACAGTCAGAAAGTGCATCACATAATCGAAACAGGAGGGCAGCTTCTCCTCCCCACACTCGTCATCGTCATCGTCTTCCCCTAGAGAGAAAGGAAGGAAGCACATTTCATCACAACCTGTGCTATTGGGTCTCCCGCTCTCCCTCTCCTTCCTTCCCAGGCCTGTCCCCTCTGCCCTTGGAATGATCAGGAGGCCATTAGACGTGGGTGAAGCTTAGGGTTTTCCAAGAGTCAATCAATATAAAACAATTATTGTTTCAAGCTCAGTGTCATAGGTCAATGGCAAAAACTTAACACCCTCACCACCTAGTTTATTAATTATATGTAATCAACACACTCTATTCTCCTGTCACCTCCAGTGAGATTTGTCACTTCAGGGCAATGACAAGGATTTCTTCCAAAAGTCTGGAAAGCCCTGTGGCAGGCTCAGAAGGAAACCTCATCTGAAGAAAGATAACTGATAGAGTTCTTCTACCAGGATTCTTTTCTTAGAACATATTTTTATTTTCCAACTTCAGCTCTGGGCAGTCATGGTTCCATAATCGCCTACAGGACAGTGTTCACACAAGGCCCTCAGCCGTGGCCCTGGGCCCTGCTTATTTCTCCAGCTTTATCTCCTGCAACTACTTCAAACTCAAACTTCATTCTAGCCAAGTGGAATTATTATTTGCATTCTTCTACAAACCATATGTACTTTCTCCTTCTGTCCTTTAGAACTAAATGTACTTGGCATGCCCCAATCCCCCTTCCTTATGCTCCCCTGCTTATCCTTTAAAACCTCTTTCCTTTGTGAAACCTTCTCTGAACCCCCTTGCCCTCCAGCCAGAGCTGGAAACTCCTCGTCAAGAGCTTCCACAGCCCCCAACACTTGTCACACTAGATCGCTCTATCTCAAAGTGTGGCCTCTTAGCAGCATTACCAGGGAACTTGTTAGAAATTCACATTTCTAGTCCCACTGAATCAGGAACCAGGGCAGTAGTGGGTGGGGGATGGGATGTGGCAACCACTTAAGCTACAGCCAATAAAATCATTTCCTTGCTTTGCTTTGGTGTCAGCTCTACAAAAGTTTTTCTCTTAGCTTTCACCAGCAGAGCACTCTAAGCATTTTTGGTTTGCCCTTGCCCAACTTGAATCCATGGTTCTTTAAATAAACTCAAAAATTTTAGTGAGCCTCAGTTTATCTTTTAAAAACCATTTCCTACAGCTTTTGTGCTGTATGGTTATTACATATTTCTAATATCACCCTTGCCTAAAAACAGAAGATGCTTTTAAATAAAAGCATGTACATGTTATAGGTCAAATTATGTCCCCGCCAAACTCATTGCTGTAAGCCCTAGCACCTCAGAATGTGGCTGTATTGGAAGACAGCGCCTTTATAAAGAGATATGCAAATTACACTGAGGCTACTAGGGTGGGCTCTAATCCAATCTGACTGGAGTCTTTCTAAGAAGAGGAAGTTGGGACCCACAGAGAGATAGACAGCAGGGTTGTGTGCACAGAGGAAAGCTGTGTGAGGACCCAGTTAGAAGGCACTCTTCCCTCTCTCAACTTAACGAGAAAAGCCTCAGGAGAAACCAAACCTGCTAACACTTTCAGCTTGGACTTCTATCCTCCAGAACTGTGAGAAAGTAAACTTCCATGGTTTAAGCCACCCAGTCTGTGGCAATTTGTTATGGCAGTCCTAGCAAACTATTGCAGCACTGCGCAAAAGCCGCCTGCACGCTAATGTTGATATATAGAAATGGCCATTCAGTGCTTCTATTACCCACTCTGTTCTTCTGTCTTTTATCTATTTCTTCTTTTTTTCCTTCTTTCACTTTTCTTCCCATTCTCCTTTTACCCTCAACTCACTGTTGAACTCACTGTGAAAGTTGCAATTTTCAGGGCTTATTGGAGGAAGTGAGGAAGAAGAGAGCCATGTTAATTCTTTCTCTACCTCCTTTTTCCCACTGCCTATTCTAAAGGAAGGGGTGCTGCCTGTACCCCAGGAAAGCTCCAAAAAAGAACTAGACTTTCAAGTTATGTTTATTTTGTACCTGATCCTTTTACATTTCTATATTTGTGTACACTTTATAATTTCACAGGGTATATGATCAAAACAGTATGAAAAACACTGAATATTAATCAGTCATCTATGAAATACAGATTATTTTGGGTGTTTTCACACCATATTATGGGGATAAAAAGGAAAACAAAAAATGAAGCTTCTTAGAAGAAATGATATTTATAGATTGATAATAGGTTATTGTATTTGTCTTCAAGATGAAAATAATAACACCTTTCCCATGAGCGAGTGTAGAGGAACAACTAGACCACCTCTGTAAAGTATTTGAGGATATTTCAAGGTAATAGTTATTGTGGTAGTTATTATTTTCCTATACTTAAGCTTTGTGACTATGTTTCCTTATCATTATTTAACTGCTTAGTCAGTAATGCTGGGTCCTAAGGTTACAGCCTAGGCTTTTAAAAACAGAATATAATCTAGCCCTCTGGAACTAACTTCATGATCTATAAGTGTGCAATGCAAAATGAAAGGGGGGAGGGAGAGAGAATGAACGAGATTGAGATTTCTTTCTGCGGGCTTCTAGCATTACCAGAAATCTTAAATATTTTAATGCGCACGTCTGGAATGGGAGGCCCATCTTTTTTATTGCATTTGAAAGTAGAAATGGCTTCCTATCCTTTTTCCTGGGATCTCACTGCTCTTTACAAATCTTAATCTCCAACTCAGATGTCATTAAAATATTAAAAATGACTGCTGACTGCCATGCGTGATGCACAATTAGCTTGCCTTGGAGAAAGACAAAGAAATATTATGCTCATCCATCACCATCTGGACTATACTTAAAAGTCTGTTCCTTGCAAGATCAGTGTAGTATTTTTTTAAAAAGGCCTGGGAGCATCTTCTGGTGACAGGGAGGTTGATGGTAATCTGCTGCGTCTCTCCGTCTGCCTGCCCAGGGTTACTAGAGGCTACAGGGAATTCTTTTGTGCCCCTCCGCTGCATTAGCAAAGAAACAGGCAGGCTGGTGGGTTTCCTTTTATAGGATCCTAAGCAAAGGATCCTCTTATCTCAGAATCCTTCTTTTCAGCTTAATGGATTCTACAAATGGTAAGATAACAAAAAGCTATATTTGATTAATCTGCTCCATGGCCTTTTCAATGATTTTCTTGATATATGTTGGATGTCCTAAAAATATAACCACAAAAATAGCCAAATCATTAAAACCACAAATAGTGGAGAGAGGATCACTTCACCTGTTGATATAACAGTACTTGCACTGCCCCTGCTGTGGAGCTGAGCACAAGACCATCATCAGCACAGGTAACTGTGAAAGGCAATTGCTGGGCTTGGCACCAGCTGATAAGACCACATCTAAAGTCAACCAGAGATTAGTTCACATCTTTCTAGAGATGCTCAGGGTTTGGCCTCAGGGAGAGCTTTAAGAATCAGAAAAAGAGACTGCTGGAGTGTAGTAGGTTGTTGGGTAAAAAAACTGAATGTCAATTTGTAGTTCTGATAGCTTGTTTTGGGGGAAAGCACTTGACCTTCCTGAGCCTCAGTTCCTCATCTGTCAAATCGGATTCCTAGCTCCCACATCGAAGAGCTGGGGTGAGGCCTGGAAGAAGAAATGTCCAAGGCCTTTGTAAAACTGTGCACCTCTTTGCAGACAGATGTGCCATTTTCCATCACTGTTACTTGTCAGGAGAAAGGCAGTAAATCAGTACCACCTGAGTTTCCTGGTTTCACAGAATCTATATTCTGTTTGAATGAACAATTACTGCTATAGCTTCTCTAAGCTGCTTGATTTTAAGAAAAGAAAAGAAGCGAGAAACGGGGGGGGAGAGAACATGAATGGGTGTCCACTAAATGACAGGCACTGAGCTAATTTTTTTCCCATGCTTCATTTCATTTAATCCTTACAATAACCATGAGAGATGGGCATAATTAATCCCATTGCACATACGAAGATCCTAAAGTTCAGGGAATTATGTAACTTTCTAAAATAATTACACAGTTGGTAAATTGCTGAGTTGGGATTTGATCTTACAGTCTATTTATTGCACATGATGTCTTGTTGAAGCGAGTTGAGGGCCATAGCATCTGTCAAATATTGATTCAAACTTTGAATCTGAGAATTCCTCTTATACCTAAATGCTATAGAAATACAATGCTGCTTTTTAAACACAATGTGGGGACACTGATCAGTAATGTTTGTTCTAATTTATTTTCTAGATATGATGTTTTCAGCAGTCAGCCACATGTTCTTTTTCAAGCCCATGGGGAACCAACTAAACACAGGAAATAAGACAATAAATAAAGGGAGGGCATCCTGGTTGTGATTATTTAGAAATCTGTGATTTAGAGTATGACAAGTTCTTATTTCCATTTCTGGTTGTCGAAGTCAACCGTCTAGTTCAGAATCAAACATCCTGGTTTGCATCTAGCTCTTCCCTCTGGAATTTGGGAAACTGGTCTACATTATCCCAAATCTGTAATGGAAAGTAGTTTGGGGAGTGTACGCTGCTATTAATCAGAGGAAGTGTCTGACTTTTTCTTCCTTCCAGGTATTCATTTATATCTATAATTAGTCCATTTTTATTCTGCAAGAGAATCCTCCATTATGGAATAGTGAGAATGATCAGAATACTTCCATGAAGTATGACAGGATGGATGTAGCATGAAATCTGTGGCCAACAACACTGTCATCCATGTGATTTTATGAACTTAGCAGCCCTGTGAAATATACAAATCAGTAACTGTGAAGCTAGATCACTATAGTGGATTTCCACATTCTATTCACATTGTTTTGGCATAATTTCTTTCTCAAATATTGTTCCCTTTTTTCCCCAAATGGGATTGACTTTAATTTTGTGTCTCCTTAGTTTCTAAGCACCAAGATTTGTCATCTTCAAACAAATTAACAAGTTGGTTCACTTTCTCCTCCATATCTATCACTGTTTTTGCAACCTGATATATGTAGTAAGTTACAAATCAAGTTCTACTCTTCTGTTGTACATTTCCACTTCTCTTTGTTTTCTAAGGTTCTGACAAAATCATAAAATACTTAAGATAGAAG